GGAAACCGAGGGAGAGATTGATGGGTTCTTAGCGGACTTCGAGAGGCAGTGTGCTCTACATCAGGGACCTGCAGATGAATGGGTCACCATCCTCTCTGGGAAATTATCTGGCCGGGCTAGTGAGGCGTTTCGGACCATCCCAGAGGAGGAGATCACCAGCTACCGGGCTGTGAAAGATGCGCTCCTAGCCAGGTATGCGGTGACCCCAGAGGCGTACAGGCGGAGGTTTAGAGAAACCAATAAGCTGGTTGGGGACTCTTATGTGGAGTGGGCCTGCAGAGTCCATCGTACCGCAGCCCACTGGATGGCTGGATGCCAAGCGGTAACTGGGGAGGAGGTGTCACAAGTGTTCCTGCTGGAACACTGCTTTGATAGACTACCTGCTGGGGTCCGGGAGTGGGTCAGAGATAGAAAACCCTCTACCCTACACGAGGCTGCTCGTCTGGCAGACGAATACACGGATGCCCGCAAGTTGGATGGTACAGCTGCCAAAGCCCCTGCCAGACTGGAGTATCGACCAGCAGTAATACCCGCTCCTTCAGTCTACCAAGCCCCAGTACACCGTAACCCAGCCGCACCGCCAGCTAACAATTTTGTACAGCCCGCACGATTTAATGCCCGTGAATATTCCCAACCCATCCGGTGCTTTGGGTGCAAGCAGTTGGGGCACAAGCGTCCTGAGTGCCCACTGAACAGTGCCAACCAGGCTCAGTCCTGGAGGAGACCAGTCAATGGGAACCAGCGCCCACCTCAGCCTGCTGCTCACTGCATAGAGCAGGAGGAATTCTGGGGCATCCTACACGAGGCAGACCCAGTGCAAGCAGCTCACCAGGATAATCGCCAGCAACATCGGCAAACCGTGAAGCTGAATGGCAGAGTGGTAAATGGGTTGAGAGACACAGGAGCCACGATGACACTACTCCAAAAGAACTTGGTCTCAGAGCATCAACACACTGGGGACACTGTGGCAGTAAGGGTAGCAGGGGGTGCTGTGTTTCGCTAACCTGTTGCCCGGGTACATTTGGATTGGGGAGTGGGCGCTAGACATGTGAATGTGGGGATGATGAAAGACTTGCCCGCAGATGTTCTTCTGGGAAACGATTTGGCCCCTTTGGTTTCAGCCTATGCTCCGATGGGCCCTGCAGATGTGAACACCGTGACCACCCGTGCCCAGGCCCGTGCTGCCGGAACCAGCCCACCTGCTGATGAGACCCAGGTAAGATCTCCTTCCCCGACTGGTACCCCAGATCAGGTCCCCTTAAGCTGTGATTCCCCAGAGGAGTTTGGGAGGGAAACCCGGGCAGATCCGACCCTCCAAAAGTACAAAGACAGGGCAGATGCTGGAGAGGAAGGAATAGATGGGGAACGGTATGAGTGGGTGGGGGACAGGTTATATAGGATCCCTAAACCTTCCCAGAAGAGTGTTGCCTCTCCGCCGAATCGCCAGTTAGTGGTACCTGCAAAGTACCGGCAGGAGATTCTGCGGATAGGGCATGATGTTCCGTTAGCTGGACATCTAGGGTCCCACCGCACAGCCTATAGGATCTCACAGAATTTCTTTTGGCCAAACTTTAACCAGGCTGTGCGGATGTACTGCAGCACGTGTGACACATGTCAACGGGTAGGAAAGCGGGGGGACCACCCTAAGGCTAGGCTACTATCGATGCCTATTATAGGGGAGCCCTTTGCCCGCATAGCCGTTGACATTGTGGGTCCACTGGCCAGGGCTAGTCCATCAGGTAAGAAATACGTTCTTACCGTGGTGGACTATGCCACCCGCTATCCAGAGGCAGTAGCGCTGTCTAACATAGAGGCAGAGACGGTTGCTGATGCCCTGGTTAGAATTTTTTACTAGGGTCGGGTTTCCTATGGAGATTCTCTCCGACCAGGGAACCCAATTCACCGCTGTGCTCACCCAGCAGCTGTGGAAGGTGTGTGGCATTAAGCCGTTACTTAGCTCACCCTACCACCCACAGACTAACGGTCTCTGCGAGCGCTTTAACGGTACCCTCAAGCAGATGCTGAGGACCTTTACAGATACTTGCAGAGACTGGGAGAGGTTCCTGCCTCATCTGTTGTTTTCTTACAGAGAGGTGCCACAGGAATCTACTGGGTTCTCCCCCTTTGAGTTGCTCTATGGGAGAAGGGTCCGCGGACCCCTAGATCTCATTCGGGGCCACTGGGAGGGGGAGACGGAGCAGGAGGGGACCTCCATCGTGCCATATGTCCTGGAACTCCGGGACCGCATGGAGAAACTGTCTCCAGGCGGCCGAGGGGAGACAGATGAGGTGGTACGATTAGGGTGCCCGACAGCGGGTCTTCCAGGTTGGGCAGAAGGTATTAGTGCTCAAACCTGTAAAGGCAAACAAGATGCAAGCATCTTGGCAGGGCCCGTACTGAGTAGTAGCGCAGATCTGCGATACTACTTACTTGATAGCCAGCTGTACAGATGAAAGGGTTCAGAGATCCTTTCATGTGAACATGCTGAAACAGTAACAGGAGAGACCTGAGAATATTGCGGCAGTATGTGCCCCGGCTGCAGATGATCCTGAGAATTTAACCCTTCCCGATTTGTTAGAAAGGGACCCCCAGACTGACCTCACTACCCTTGTACAGCTAGGGGACAGGTTAAACCCCACAGAAATGGTACAGGCGAAACAGCTGTTGTGGGAGAAGCAGGCGACGTTTTCCCAGGAGCCAGGTTATACTACCCTAGCTGTACATAAGGTCGAGACCCCTGGACAGACCCCCTTATGACAGTCGCCATATCATATCCCTGAAGCAGTCCGAGACGGAATGTGGAAGGAGATACAGGAGATGACCCAGCTTGGGGTCATCGAGCCCTCCGACAGCCCTTGGGCCTCGCCTGTAGTCCTGGTGCCCAAGAAGGATGGGACCACCCGGTTCTGTGTAGATTACAGGCGACTCAATGAGCGGACCACCACTGACACCTACCCGATGCCTCGGGTAGACGAATTACTGGATCGTATTGCCAAGGGGCGCTACCTGACCACCATAGACCCCCGTGGCCGAGGATGCTATCCCCAAGTCGGCATTCATCACCCTATTTGGCCTGTACCAATTTAAGGTCATGCCTTTTGAGATGAAGAATGCCCTGGCTACCTTCCAACGGATGGTGGATAGACTCCTGGATGGCTTCCAAGAATTTGCCTGTGCATACTTGGACGACATTGCGATTTACAGTGGGTCCTGGGAGGAACACCTGGTTTATGTAGGGGTGGTACTGGATAAGATTCGGGCCGCTGGCCTGACATTGAAGCCAGAGAAGTGTCATCTAGGTATGGCTGAAGTACAGTACCTGGGTCACAGAGTGGGATGTGGGAGCCAGAGACCAGAGCCAGCCAAGGTCGAGGCAGTGGCTAACTGGCTAAGACCCAGGTATTGGCCTTCTTGGGGATGGCAGGGTGCTACCGACGTTTTGTCCCTGACTACAGCACTATTGCTAAGCCCCTGACAGATCTGACGAAGAAGAACTTGCCTAAGCAGGTCCTGTGGTCTCCGGCTTGTGAAGCTGCGTTCCAGGCACTGAAACAGGCTCTTGGCTGCCCCAGTTTCTAACAAAAGTTTTCTCGTTCACAAAGATGCTTCCATGAGGGCTGTGGGCTGTGCTAAGCCAAGTCGGGGAGGATGGAGAGCACCCTGTCGCATATCTCAGCCGAAAGTTGTTACCTAGAGAAGTAAGTTATGCGGCAGTGGAGAAGGAGTGTTTGGCCTTGGTCTGGGCATTGAAGAAGTTAAGTCCCTACTTATACGGGCAAGAGTTTTCCCTTGTGACTGACCATAACCCACTCGTCTGGCTTAACCGGGTCTCAGGGGACAATGGTAGACTGCTGAGGTGGAGTTTGGCACTACAGCCCTACAATTTCACTATCAGCTACAGACCCGGTAAGCAGAACAGGAATGCAGATGGGTTATCCCGGCAAACTGACATCTCCACCACCTCCTAGTCCGGTCATCCCCAAGTTGACCGGCCAAATGGTCAAGCCGGGTGTGCCGGAGGGTCCCACAAGGAGGGAGCCATGTGACAGAACCATCTGTCTGTCTATTGTGGTGGATTCGTCTATTTCTGCCCTCCTTCGTATAAATGGCTGTTTCTATTGCCAGCCATACGAATGACTCTTCTTACCGAACAAATCTACCGAACGGATGGCCACCCAGGATAGAAGTGTGCTGCTGGTTAACCTCTTGATCCCAATTAGAACGTTGTGGTTAACCGCAGACACTTCTCAATTAAACCGAATTCAGGGTGGCCGTCGTTCGTATGTCGACCACGAGGCAGTGGCCATTTTAAAACACACGAAAGACCAGCGGTGTTCGGCACTGATTTCATGGAACTAAAAATGGACACTTTTTCTGCCGAACACCGCTGAAACAATGGGTCGCCCTACTCCATCGACGAAATCATGCGAACACCGGCCGTTCAGGAGTTTGGAATCTCACGAAAAGACTTAACCCAGATAGCATTCCCATGGAGTCAATCGCATACCGAAAGACTGTAAGAACTTTGACTCCATGGCGATTGAACTATGCGTATGGGATCTGAGCGCTATTCGCTAATAATATGCCCTCAGATCCAGGCTATCTGGGGATATGTGATACGAATGTGAAATGTTTGGTAGTTGTGGAATTATATATTTTTGTGTGTTTTCTGGCATTTTATTTAAGATGGCGATTTGTCTTTGTCCTGGAGATAATTGAATTACTTCTCAATTATCTCCAGGGCAGAGGGGAGGAAACCATATTGCATTGTGGGAAAAGTTTACATCTGTATGTCTGAAATGTCCCCATGTCTATCTGTCATTACAGTCTCCCATTTGGTCCCCTAGGGGAATGTCCACCAAGTGGGAGACCTGCATAAATACGGGCGGGTAGCCCACAGTAAAGCCAGATCCTGTTTGACCCTCAATGCGGAGCTTCTGTCTCGTTATTGGGGGGATTTACTATTGATGCCTAGAGACTGATTATTGGAACCGAAAGCCGCTTGGTGGATATCTTCGTTCGGCGGTTAGCGGCGGTTCATGGATTTCTGTTCGGGAGTTTGGTGCCTTTCATGGATCCCGGTCGGGAGATTACCGCTTCCCCTAATGGTGGTTCGTATACTGCAGTCTATGCGAATGGAGTTACTGATATTGTGAACGGGGAAGGTTAACTAAACGGCGGTTTCTCTTAAAGATGCCAGGGGTGTCTTAACAGACCACATCCAGGCAGTAATCTATTTGAACTAATATATAAGACAGGTAGGGAATAGTGATGTCCCGAACTGTTCGCCGAACGGTTCGCCGCGAAGGTTCGCCGTGGACTCATCATTGCGTAAACTTTGACCCTGTACCTCACAGTCAGCAGACACATTCCAGCCCATCAGCAGCAGACCCTCTCTCTCAGACCCTCCCACCTCCTGGACAGCATCCATTGTGAAGCTGCATTCTTAGTGAGCTGTCCAGGAGGTGGAAGGGTCTGGGAGGGAGGGTCTGCTGACTGTGAGGTACAGGGTCAAAGTTTACTCAATGATGAGTCCGTGGCGAACCGTTCGCGAACTGTTCGCGAACCATTCGCGAACCGTTCGGCGAACAGTTCGGGACATCACTAGTAAGGAACTCAAGATTATAACAATTCCAGTATTAACCTATACATGGGATAACTTATATTTTACACCATATTGAATCCTACATAATCAAAACACAACATAGTGGCCATAATATACTGCAAATTTTAATTTTTTAATTAAGTTGTTTGGCCGGGCCAAATTGGACTAATGGACTGTTTATTAGGATTTTTTTGCTGCTTACAACAGTTACATGGTTGCTTGTTTTTGTAGGTGTTGTTCCTAGCAAAATATATAATATTGGTGTTTATTATTTTACTTTTGTTTTACGTAATCACATACAATTCTTACATTTCCCTTTTACTGATTTATTATGTTTTATAGTGGTGCACCATTTTAAAGGGGCTCTGCTTGATATTATTATTTTATGTGGACTTGGCCCAATTCTAACAAATATATTGTATTGTCTTCTTTCTTTGGTCATATTAAAATCCATAATGATCCAAACTTGCTGTAAAAATAATAAATTACCCAATCTCAAAAAACAACAACTAAAAAAGCAAAAATAGAAGATTGCCATAAAACACAATTTTTGTTTAAAGCTGCAGATACTTTATATCCACCCCTTCCAGCCTACGAATTGCTTAGTATGCTGTGTAATAGAATGGAAATTTCACTATTTACCTTGTAGGAATTATCATGAGAAATCGACAGATCCTGAACCAACATTTTTGAAGGTCAAGTGACTCTTCATTCAATTCTTGGAATAAAGCATTGATCTTGTTGCTTATTATAAAATTAGTTTATTCTCCCTTCTTATAATCAATCAGGGGAATGTATGATTGTAAGCTTGTTTGAGTAGGGCCTTTAAATATACCATTTCTATAATTGTAAAGCCCTGTGGAACATGTTGACACTATGAAAAATGCTAATATTGATTAACATGTTGCAAAGGGCAACTTTAAAAATATTATACATTTAACATCCGAAAAGGCATAGCAAACCATTTTAATTTGAAAACCAAAAACCTTATTGACTTCAGCATTTAGATTTTGGCTGGAAGAGAACCCAGATCTGCTATTTCAGAACTAAGTAGCTAAGTTATGCACAGATCTCTTCATTCCCATTTGATATTTATAGGAATGAATCCTAGAAGGAAAGTTTGGAATATTTCAACTTTACTATTTTTGTTTTTGGGATGCACAATTTTACTGAGACGAGGTTAGTCACCTCATAATACATAACAGCATGAATTAAAAATGAATGTGCTATACAGTAGATACTATAAAAATAATTAACATGTAGGCAAACAAACCTCCTCGTCAGTACCTTAAACAATGTCTATTGTTCCATCACAAAAGATTTGTGCTTTGAATAGAAATGTGGCCACGAGGTGGGTCCAATACAGCTGAAATAGAAAAATGACAGAATGTTACAGTCATAAAAAAAGAGCAAGAGGGGAGATGGAGAAAGAGTGTGACCTCTGACACAAACTCTCAACCACAAGTTTTTCTCTAGCTATCATCTCCAGAGTTGCCATCAAGGGGTGACCACCATAAAGGTCTGCTTGGGGAGACTCAGGCCCGGGTCCCACAGTCCCAATGTGCACATATATAGCGATTAACGCTATATATATGTGCACCTACAGCACCCCAGCTACCTGTATACTGCAGTCCAGTCAACACCATTTTCAAAGGTACAGCAACTTCCCTCTCTCTAACTCATGCAAGACCCTCGCCCATCAGAACAGTCATTATAAAGTGAATGTAGCATGGGCTGGGTCCCTCTGCAGTATACAGAGCCTGGCAGCCTGCACACTGACACCGGACCACAAGGGAATGCAATCTCCTCTCTCGAAGGCAACATGTAAGAAGCAGGGAGGGAGGAATAAAATAAACATTTACACACAGTGCAACCACTACACAAACACACACTCTATACATTGACTATTCACACTGCATCCACTACAAACTACATCCCCTGCATCTATTACACAAACATACACTCTGCATCCACTACTCACACTACATCCACTTTACACACACACACCACATCCACTAGAAGCACACTGCATCCACTACAAACAAACCAGAGGGCCCAGACCATGAGCTGTGTAAGGAGCCCCAAATGTTCTAATAGCAGTCCTGTCAGTCTCTACAAAGTAGGTCTAATATCTACTTTATCTAATCTTTATTATTTTTTTACATCCCTTTCAACCATTCAAATATTGAACTTTTTTTGTTTTATTTAGAGAAAAAAATGGTTATGGCTACATATGGATACACAATTTTGTTATCCGGGGAAAATACAGAAAATTTGATTTTTTTTTTTCTTCCGTGCACTGATCTTGCAAGTGTAAAAACATACAACTGAACACATAACTTTGAACAGCTATGCAACACGGCAGGCTTATAGCTCTTTATCTTTTAAACATTTATGCTGATGCAATTGCTGCTTAGTAATTCAACTTGATTATGTCTGATAAAGACATGTGGTCACATAACCTGCTATTTAGTATTTCAGAACATGGCAGCTAATAAGAAAGTCAATTTCATCAAAAAAAAACTGAAAGATCTTAGTTGTTAATATTTCATTTGGAGCAATTTGAATTGTTTGTTATTCACATATTCATTGAATAATTACTAATACTCGTGATATAATGGTAAAATGATTCAGATATCTAATCCATTATGCACAAAGTTCTGCGGACAAAATCCTTATTAAGCTACATAATACACCATCTGCCATTATATTCTATTATCTAAAAAATCAATTAAATACATAAATGTGTGGTCTGTTGGAGGTTTTGACTCAGATTATACTGTAGTGATTTTTCCTCCCTCTTTTTAATCAATTCATCAGCCTAATCCTTTCGGCACCTGTCCTTACAGGAAAGTTATTTAGCATTATATCTATATGCCATTTCACTTAGGATTATTAGGGTATAAATTAGTAGAATAGTAAAATTTAAAAATTTGCTAATTTGTCAGATTTAATCAAACACATTATTTTCAAAGAAGATAAGCATTAATATAGTTTTAATTTGAAATTACAAACCAATAATATGGGCTTATAGCTCACACTGTTTTAGAACTTAAAGAATAGTAATGATATTAAGATTAGTTAATACGGTGTGTTGATTCTCTAATATATATCTTCTGGACATTTTGTTGTTATTTCTTTTTAAAACAGCACAGGGCAGCACAAAACCAGGATACACCACTGACTGAAATGTCGATTCATGTTTTAATTTTGCCAAATAAAGAAATATTTTTAAGAAGACCATGAGTGCTGCCACCTTCTCTGATATATATACATATATTAATATAAAAATACACTTGTAATTAAATTGAGAAAGACCCAGCAGTGTCAAAACTTCGATCAGTTTACTGAATGTAATTTCTATATAATAAATCACATCATTCAAGTCTAAGACCTGTGAGTGCATCCTGGAATTAATATATATATATATATATATATATATATATGTGTGTGTGTGTGTGTGTGTAAATAAATGTAAAAATAATAGAATTAATTAAATAAATTATATATATTATCAAAATACAGTTAGAATAAAATTACATATATATTTATATATTTTACTAAGGAGACTTCACTGAACACAAATATTAGTGTTTCAAAACAGTAAAACATATCAAAGCTATGATATTGTCAGTGAAAGTGACTTTTTTTGCATTTTTCACACATAAATGGCACTTTCACTGATATCATTGTTGTGATACGTTTTACTGTTTTGAAACGCTAATATTTGTGTTCAGTGAAGTCTCCCGAGGATAACAGTGCCCTGTATGTACAGGTTTTATAGTTTTTTTAAAAAGTTACAGAGTCAAATATAAGGCTCGATTTTCACATTGAAATTTGACAGATTGGTTATGTTGCTTTTGAGAGCATATGGTAGCCCAGGAATGAGAATTACCCCAATGATGGCATGCCATTTGCAAAAGAAGAAAACCCAAGGTATTGCAAATTGGATATCTTCAGTCTTTTTAGTAACCTCTTAGTCACAAACACTGGCCAAAGTTAGCGTTCATAATTGTTTTTTGCATTTTTAACACCCAAACAAATATAAATACTAACTTTGGCCAGTGTTTGACTAAATGGCTACTAAAAAGACTGGACATACCCCATATTGAATCCCCTGGGTTGTCTACTTTAAAAAAATGTGTACATGTGAGGAGTGATTCAGAGATTTATGACAGATAACAGTGTTACAATGTCACTATTGATATATTTTTAAAATGTATATTTTGAAACAACAATGTCCTACTTGTACTTATAGCCCTATAACTTGCAACAAAAAAGGTAAGAACATGTTAACATTGGGTATTTTTAAACTCAGGACAAAATTTAGAAACTATTTAGCCTGAGTATTTTTGGCGGTTGTAGATGCATAACAGATTTTGGGGGTCAAAGTTAAAATAGTGGTTTTTTTTTTTTCATATTTTATAATTATTTTTACAGTAAATTATATGATATGATTAAAATAATGTTAGAAAGACCATTTAATGTTGAGAAACTGTATATAATTTGTGTGGGTACAGTAAAGGAGTAAGAGGAAAATTGCAGCTAAACACAAACACCGCAAGAATTGTAAAAACAGCCTTGGTCCTTAACGGTAAGAAAATTGAAAAAAGGTTTGGTCACTAAAGGGTTAAAGGTTTGTTAGTTTATTTATGCATATTCACATCCCCATCTTTAGTAATAAATAATAATAAAAATCCCCTCATCAATGGTTCATTGGAAGAAGAAACTGTGGAATATGCCAAACCAACAGCAGCAATAGTGCCATGGCTTCACAACAACTTAATATCTCCTTTTCATCCATACGTACTGCTGATACCTCTGCTGCCACCACAATTATCGTCTCCACAACCAGAATTCAGCCTCAGGATACTGGGACAAGCATGTCTGTTACATCCA